AAAAAGTGTTTAATAATATATATTTTTTCATTGTTTTTATTTATTTTAATTCTGTAATGAGATGAGATGTGAAAAATATAAACAATTATATTTAAAATAAAGTCTAAAAATATGTTTAAAATATGAGCTCCTCCGTGCATCGCACGGGGTACACACTAGTTTAGTAGATATCGTTTATGTTTGATAAATCTTTTTATATAATATTTGTTCTAGTTAGTGTAGGAAGAATGGTACACCTAAGAGAAGTAGAAGCTAATCGTGATCTCGTTTTCATTATAGTGAAGATCGTGTCCAAGATTTGAAGAAAATCTTTGGAAAGGAAATCAATTCCGAATGAAAGGATGTCGATATATACTAATATACATGCATGACAATAGGGAGACTCTTTACTGTTGAGGAGATTGTATATATGCATGCACGAATAGACTCAGAGATGGCTGCTGCAGTTATGGAGTTTCACATTTAAGACATTATCTGAGAGTTCGTGAGTTTTGAGTTGTTTTTAAGTTAGTTTCGAGCTAAGGTTGGTCAAGTTCTCTCTTTGAATAATTTCGAGTTGAGTAGCACATGTTTACCACAGGTCCACAAGACTATATTTATTATTTCAATTGAGCTTCAAGCTAAGGTTGGTCAAACTCATACTCGAATAGTTTCGAGCTGAGTTGTTCATGTTTACCCTCATACTCGTCTACCAAATAGGCTAAAGGTTGAGTCAAACTCGTCTCGTTTAAACTCGAATCAATTGAGTTTGACTCGTTTAATATACATAAAATTTCAAATAAGTTGTTGGTGAAACCTAAAAAAAAGTTCAACTCAATTGTCTTATTTAAAATACACAGAATGATAAATAAAAATTTCAACAAGAATTATTTGTAAACAAACTAACTATTTGTCAAATCAAACTCTGTTAGTAAACATACAGATAATCAGTTATTTTATAGTTTCGAGAGATGCTACGATCCCATTACAGAACTATTCGATCGAAGTTTGCAGCTGTTAGATCAACTATCTCCGACAGTACATGATGATCTAACGATTACAAACTCGGTGGAATGGTTCCGTAATGGGACTGTAGCATTTCCCGTTACATTCATTACAGAAAATGAAGTGAGACTTGTATTAGTTGAACAGAGGCATATCAGCTTGACATATTTGAAACTTGATCAAGCTTTAATGTCAAAATACTTTTCAATCCCAATTATATATTATATGCATTTACCCTTGAATTTTCTTCATCTCCTTCAAATTTATCAACACACCTTTAGGTTCGTTGCTCGTGGTTCTTTAATCGTCATATGCTCAGACATTATTGGTTAAAAAATTAGCAGGCCACATCACTTTTTTTTACCCCCAAATGCCCAGATGCCTTTGAAATTTCAAAATCGAACAAGAATTTTGTGTTGTTAAACTGTGTTCTGCTTGGCTGGGCTTCTGAGAACACAACAATGGCAGCTGGGACAAGCCGGAGAATTTCGGCAGCCTCGGCTAGGGTTCGTACCCGAAAATCGAAACCCTCGACTTCTTCGAAAATCTCAGGTTAGGGTTTGGTTTTTAATTTTTTTTGGCACTCACTTGTTCTTTAATCCCTCTGTTTAATTTTTATTGAATGCTCAGTTATTTATGTAGTTGATTTTCGGCAACATGGAGTGCAGCCAGAGTGTTTTATGCATAGCTTCGTTTAGAAATTTCATGGGCTTCTTAAAGATTAAATTTTTATGTGATATGTTGATTGTTTTGATATGAATAAAAAGCAATTTATGTGTGTGTGTGTGTGTGTGTTTTCTTATTCTGTTTACTGTTAAAAATTGATTTGTACAGATTTAGTCAGAAATGCTATGGAGCCATCGGATGGTTCCCTTATGGAGCCATCCATAGCTTTATGTATTGACACGTGTCCAATGTGTATTTATTGCAGGACACGTGTCAATACACCATTTGTGGATAACTATGGATGACTATATAAACCGAGCCATCCCATGGCTCCATACCAAAATCGCAGATTTAGTTACTGGTGATGAGTGAAGTTCAGTATCATCTATGGGCAGATAAGATTTGATCAACTTGAGAATGAAGTTAGATGCAGAAAA